AAAGTTTATTGACTGTAGACATGGACAGGGACCTGTCTTTATATTGAAGAGAATGAAAATGGCCGACAGCTTGAATGGTCATTTTTAATTGTAAATTGCATCAAAGCTGGTGAAAATATGGAAAAAACAACTGTTATATACAAATCCAGTATGTCATAAGAAAGTAATTCATGTGCTGGGAATAATTATTCTCTAAAGATGGAAAAGTTTATTGACTGTAGACATGGACAGGGGCCTGTCTTTATATTGAAGAGAATGAAAATGGCCGACAGCTTGAATGGTCATTTTTAATTGTAAATTGCATCAAAGTGGGTGAAAATATGTAAAAAACAACTGTTATACACAAATCCAGTATGTCATAAGAAAGTAATTCATGTGCTGGGAATAATTATTCTCTAAAGATGGAAAAGTTTATTGACTGTAGACATGGACAGGGGCCTGTCTTTATATTTTAAAAATTGAACGTGGCCAACAGCGAGAATATTGAATTTTAATTGTAAATTGCATCAAAGTGGGTGATTTAATGAAAAATTCAACATATTTACACAAAACCAGTATGTCTTGGGAAAAGTGATTCATCTCATAAATGGTTTTATTCCTTTTCGAATGAAAAGGTTTTAATAAAAAATACGTCCGTGTAAAAAATTTTCATAACGTCCAGTCGGCCAAGCTTTCCCCTTTATTATTGACCACAATTAAACGTTAATCGTCACAATATTTTAACTAACAATTACTACAAACTGAATAAAACAAGGTAAATAATTTACGAAATTGAAATATATACTTACATTATGCTGTTTTGAAAAGCTTGATGTAAAATAAAAATCGAAGCGGTGGTGAACTTGTCATGATCAGATGCAAAATGGCGATCTCGTTAAAGTCTCGTGTGACGCGTGTTTTTAATTGGATTTCGCTGACCACTGTTACAGTTGCCAATCTCTGTGTATATATGTCTCTGGTATAAACAATTTTGATTTTAGAAAATTAATTTGAGAAACACCTTTTCAATGGAAAAAGGCAGGCGTTGTGAAAGTTTGCATTATATTAGAAGATGATATTCATATATTATTCACTTGCCAAAAAATACATGTAAAAAGTAACTTAAATTGATAGAATTATTTAAAAGTTGTTACATCAAAACAAACATTTGCAAACATTCATGAGAAAATTTTTACAAAAAAAAAAAGTGAGGAAGCTGTATGTTCAACTAGTTTTATTATTTCATTTTATTTTAGAATTTTCTTGTCATAATCACAGTTATTAAATTTGACAAACACAAAAAGTCATTTATTTTCCCTGAGACACTTTACCTGTAAGTTATGTAATTTTAACACTTCAATGCAGTCATGATTTCTCTTTATCCTTGACTAGTTTTTGATTAATACCTTGTGTATTAATTAAGCAGCAGGGGGTATAATGATGGACATTTAGGGCCATCATGGTGACCATATTTTTTATGGCCACCATTAATAAGATAATGTCACAGGTAGTACTGTATGTTGTCCTTGAAAATTAGAGAAAATTCTGTCAACCGGTTTTTGAGTAATTTATATTGCCCTGAAATATGACTCTTTAAAACATATTTTTGCTTTTATCATGAAAACTATAGGAGTTAGGTTAAAAGTGTTAACTTCTGAAATGATCAGCATGGCAAGATCTATTTGATCTAAAGTTTTGTAACCCTGTTTGGATTTATTGCCCCTGAAATATTGATTTTTACTATTTTTTACAGTTTTGGCTGTTATCTTAATATACAAACTACAAATGGATAGGAGCTAGATTAAACATTTATTTTTTGTACTAACTGTGTAACCCTCTTTAAATAAAGAATTATTAGGTCTTTCCACTTTTTCGTGGAAAGACCTTTTGCTTTTGTTCTGATTATTTTTTTTTCTTCTGCCCAATTTTTTTTTCTTTTGCTGTTTGGTTGTTTCGTAAGATGTCGACTGGATTTTTGATATATGATATGGAACAGTTTATACACTTTCAAAACTGACACTGTTTAACCGATTACTTTTCTTTGTAAGAGTTATCTCCCCGATCACTGTTTTCTACTCCTTTGCAACCGTTAAAGATAACGACAAAATTATTTCACCAATTTGCTCGTTATATCCTCAGGATGTTGTGATTGGTTTTGAATGAAGCGTTCCAGAGACTCCATATGAGAGTTATTTCCCATTATGCATTTGTTATAAGCGATAGGCATGCATTTGTAACTAGAAAACCATAAGTGAAAGAGACTTAGGGTCTTTTAATCTGGGTCCACCAAAAAGAAAATGAGGTCAAGGTCATGTTTTAATTTTTGCTTTTGCTTGTGCATGTTTTTCCTAAGAAACTGTAATATATATCAACATAAGATTTTCACTAAATTGTTAGCTGTGATATGTTGTGATAGGAATTTTTTTTTTCGAAGCGGTACGGTTACATTTACTAGGAGTTTTCTCCACTTGAATGTTAAAAATTAGATGAATGGTAATATAACTTGTTAACAATACATAGTAAAGACCTAAGGTCTTTTGATATGAGGTCCTTTCTTGATGACCTTGAAATTGAGGTCAAGGTCGAAAGTGAACTTGTCGTTCTAGATTTTGACATTTGCTTTAATTTCATATTTATCTCCTTTATTTCAAACAGAAGTGTATAGGAACCATATATTTTTGTAATCAGCGTACATTAAGCTATCATCAGACAGAAGAAATAGCATTTTAAAAAGGATTTTCATATCAAAATATATCATTTTGGGTGGAAAGACCTTCAATTGTTCTCTGAACAATTGGTTTTTAATTGTTATTATTATTATACGCCCGTTTACGGGACGTATTATGGTATACCGTTGACCGTCTGTCCCTCTGTCTGTCCGTCTGTCCGTCCGTCCGTCGTCAACATGTCGGACATTAACTCAAAAAAGCTTTAACCAATATGCATGAAACTTTGGTGAATTGTTTATATCTATTGACGTGAGCTCCCTTTCGTTTTTTATAAATTTCAGATTTACTGTTTCTGAGTTTTGGGGTTTTATTCATTAAATAGGGGGATTTTCCAGTTTTCCGACAAAAACTCAAGAATGCTTTCACCAACTTGCAAGAAATTTTGGTGAATTGTTTAAATCTATTGACATGATCTCCCTTTGGATTATTATAAATTTTAGATTTTACTTTTCCGAGTTACAGGGTTTTATTCATAAAGAAAGGGTGATTTTCCAGTTTTTCTGACAATAACTAAAAAATGCTTTCAGCAGTTCTCATGAAACTTTGGTGAATTGTTTATATCTGTTGAGGTAAGCTCCCTTTAGAATTTTATAAATTTTAGATTTTACCTTTCTGAGTTATGGGGTTTTATTCATTTAAAAAGGGGGGATTTTCCAGTTTTTGGACAATAACTCAAAAATGCTTTCAGCAGTTCTCATGAAACTTTGGTGAATTATTTATAGCTATTGATGTAATCTCCCTATTGATTTTCATAAATTTCAAATATGACATTGAGAAGAATTTGAACTTTATTTGTTTATAGTCTGACAACAGCACAGTGTATTGCACAACAGCAAGAAATCTTTAATTGAATATAAATTCAATTCATATAACCAATTTCAAGTTCTTTGACTACATTTATTCAGAAATCTATAATATGTCAAATATTTAATTACAATCCAAATTCAGACCTGTATCAAGCTTGAATATTGTGTCCATTTTTGCACCAACTGTTCAGGGTTGGACCTCTGCGGGCGTATCCAGCTGCGCTCAGCGAAGCAATTTATTTATATTGCGAAAATGATCTGCAACTCAAAGAGTAACTATAATACATGTAACATGATATGTATAGTATATGCATATACAGGTAGTCATTAGCAAAATGATGACTTTTTTTCACTATTAAGTATAGCATACACCTCTTGCTTGGATGAAGTCCCAACTATTGTCACGAAAACAAAAACAAATCTCAATATGACACATGTAAGATGTGGATTAATTTCAAGATTATGCTCAAAATATTGTAGATTTTTAAAAATTTTAAGCATTTAACAAATTGTAAAACTACTATGTCTGGTAAGAGGTGGTGTCTTTTTTGTGTTGCTGAGTACAATCTATATATTGAAGATTCTTTTTACTGCAATTATACATGTACAAAATTGGATAAAGCTTTGTGTGTCACAGTATATAAAAACAATAAACCTTATTTTAATATTCATGATTTTTCAAAATTCCATCTAAAATTCTACTGTTTAATAGGAGCGCTAGAATTCCTTATTAAGTACATGTACATTTGTACCTACAATGTAGATTGAATATTTGTGATAACATAGAAATCAAAACTATTTCTACATTGGGGGAATTTCTGATTAAGTTAAAATAAAGTACCTTGTTTGAATAGTTGTGAAATGACAGAATTCCAGAATATTTAACTATCTTGAATGTTCATGGAATTTCGCATTCAAAATCTTGATCGACTATGAGACAACTGCATATGCTCCCTAAAGCTTGTTCTGTTAACAAATTGCACACATTTCAAAATTATTACTGTTGTGTTTGAAAAACAGGAATTTCTAACATATCTTAAGTTTCTGATTCATATGGAATTTATTAACCCCATATATATTGTATTAGGTCACTAGCACACTGTGTAACAAATTTATCTTACTGACTATCTTTACATGCAGTATTTAGACTAGTGGCCTATCAAAGTGATCAAGTGTTCAATATTAAAAACCTAATTCCATTGGTCTATACAAAAACAAATTCCAATAATAACAACTTGTTTGCTTTTAATGTGTTTTATGAATTAATTTCAATCGTCCATCATCAATTTCTACGTGTGTTGAAACTTTCAGATTTTTCCTCAACAGTGTTGTTTTTAGCAACGTAACACCACTACTAACCGTGTTGAAATAAACCTGCCTACTACCCCCATATGAAATATACACTGTCTCCATGTGGTTGCTTTTAACCAATCATATTCCTAGATTTGTAATAGGAGGTAAGATAAATATAATTATATGTTTGTAGTAGAAAAAGAAGCTTTAAGGTGCATGTAAAATGTATGAATTTTACAGAACAGGAAGATTGAGGAAATTTCAAAAGATTAACCAGGAACAGTAAGAAGAATGGGGCTCATAGGTATTCATTGTGTAATCTTTTAGTTTATCATGTTTTTTGTCTTTTAACATGTTTAATGTCATGGCTCATGTTGCTTAAAGTAGTGTTCTATGTAAACAATGTTTTCTTTAAATAAGGGAGATAATTAACTACATCCAGTTCACAAAATGTCACCTATGGTGTCTTATGAAACATGTGAAAGGTTACCTTGCACTGGTTTAAAGATATAGGTTCTAGGTACATGTACTTTTCCACTAAATGAGTGCAAAATGCCACTTTCCTTTTACCCAAGGTTACTTCAAGTTACTTGAATCTCAATGTCATGTGTTCCCTATTCTAATACAAACATTCCAGGGAATCAACTCCAATAAATGATTCAGAATTTGTTTGAAGCAAATGTATTTTATAGAATTTGGCATCTCTCTTTTTCACTTGCTCCATGATTCTGTGTTGATCACTTATAAATGAAGGTCAAATTTCTGCCAAAACCTGAACGCCATCATAAGCAGGCAGCCAAAATTTTTGGATTATCAATCACCAATGAAATTTATGTTTGTCCATTACGCTTCATGGATTAATAATTTTTGTAAAAAACTTGCACCAAGGACCTTGTTTAGTATTTACATATGTGTACATTCTTTTTGTGTCTGTCCCAACTCCAAAATCAGCAGCATGTAGACTAGTTCCCTGGTTGTCATTGGTTCATGTCTGTCATATTTGTTTTTTTAAAAATGTTTTGAAATAAATAAGGCTGTTGGTTTCTTGTTTGAATTGTTTCAATTGTTGTGGCCTGTTTTAGCCATCTATATGGTAAAGATTTTCTCATTGTTGAAGGCTGTTCAGTTGCTGCCCTTAATTGCTTACATTCAATTCATTTGAAATCTGTTGATTAGTTGTCTCATTGGCAAATATACCACATCTCTTTTTTTCGTATGTATTAGTTCAATAATGTCCATATACCATTATAATCACTAAAAACTCATATCATACGACTTTCAAACGACAATTATTTATATATTTGAAGAGACTGTAAACAGCAAAAAGTATCATTAATATTATTGAGGTATTGCCCTGAAATGATGATTTTTGACTAATATTTATGTTTTGCCAATCATCTTGAAAATCATAATAGATAGGTAGATACTACAAGAAAAAATGATAAGAAATACAAAATCTACAAAAATGGGAAGTAATCTAAACCTTTTGATGATTGCTTCATGTCCTTATGTAAAGGAATAATTGACCAAAATGACAATATTTGTCTCGCCTTGACGGAGTCAAAAAGCGAGACATAGGTATGCTGTTTCCGGCGACGGTGGCGTCGGCGTCAACAATGTATTAGTTTGTGATTAGGTCTAGTTCATGGTGAACTACTAGTGGTAGGTCAATGATATTTGGTATGCAGTTGTATTAGCATTGGCACATCTCATTACCATTGAGATTATTTGGCCCGCCCCCTCAGTCAAGGTCTATTGACTTTAAACCTTTGCTTAGTTTACATGTATTAGTTTGTGATTAGGTCAGTTTATGGGGAACCACTAGTGGTAGGTCAATGATATTTGGTATGAGGTTGTATAAGCATTGGCATATCTCATTTCCATGGAGATTATTTGGCCTACCCCCTCATTCATGGTCTGTTGACTTTGAAACTTTTGCTTAGTTTTCATGTATTAGTTTGTGATTAGGTCAGTTTAAGGGAAACCGTTAGTGGTAGGTCAATGATAATTGGTATGCAGTTGTATAAGCATTAGCACATCTCATTTCCATGGAGAATATTTGGTCCTAACCCCTCAGTCATGGTCTATTGACTTTGAAACTTTTGCTTAGTTTACATGTATTAGTTTGTGATTAGGTCAGTTTAAGATGAACCACTAATGTTAAGTCAATGATATTCAGTATGCAAATGTATTGGCATTTGCAAGTTTCATTTCCATGGAGATTATATAACCCCACCCCCTAATTATGGTTCATTGACTTTGAAACTTTTACATAGTTTACAAGTTAATGTTTGTGTTTAGGTTTGCTTAAAGGGAACAACTTATGAAAAGTCAATGGTATTTGGTTTTGCAGTTGTATTAGCATTGGCACATCTCATTTCCATGGAGATTGTTTAGCTCTGTACCTTCAGTCATGGTTCATTGACTTTGAATATTGGCATAACATACATGTTAAAGTATTGCTATTTTAATTTCAACATTTGCATTATCAAAATAATAAATAGGCGAGACATATCTCTGTGTTAACAGTTTATTCTTCTTTTCTTGTTTTGACGAGTATCTCAAAAATTATGACAGATAATCTAAGAAAAAATTAAAGTTCTATAAGAAAACATATGAGGTTTAATTCTAACAATTTGAGGTATTTTCTTAGAGGCTAGCCATCATTTATTGTCATTGATGCTTACAAAATATTTAATATTGTAATTATTTCCCTTAACTGTTAACATAGCCATTCAAAGGAATACATGACCAGGGCATGCAGGGGGACAATATTTGGTAATACAAATGAAATTTTATAGATTATTTCACTTTCAAATTTTGATTTGAGCATTTCTGATTAAGGTAAATTCAAAAAAAGGTTGGACGCAAGCAATTTATAACATGTTGTTCCCATTTTATATCGTTAAAGTGGGAGACTGATTCATGTAAAATTTTCAAAACCAGTTTTTGAATCCAATATTTTACTGATCTATTGATAAAGCACTATTCCAATGTTATAATCTCATTTTCAATATTAAAATACTAATACTGTTTAAAGTAAACTTTATTATTTTACAGGTGTTAAGTACTGGAAGAACTGGTTTAATGAGAAACTTGATGAAATGTACAGAACATAAAAGAAAGACTGTGATAGTGACTTTATAAATGAAGAATAATTAAGATATTGAATAATGATTTTAGATTATTTGTTAGTTATATGGTTTGCTACTGAGGCAGTAAAAATTGACTTTAAAGACTTGTAAAATGTGAAGCAAATGGTAAAGCAGTAGGGTCTAAATAGTACTGAAAATTTTAAAGTTACCCTACATCTTCCTTAATTGTCCAAACAATGCTTTAGGTACAAGGACAGGTGTTCGAAAATTAAAACACATGTAAAATTTTCAAAACAAGTCACCACATTTTTGGTCCTCAAAATGATCTTCGACTTCATACTTTCTTTGGCCTTTTTTACATTTTTGATTCAAGTCACTGATGAGTCTTTTGTAGACGAAACACTTGTCTGGCATACAAAATTTCAATCCTGGTATCTATGATCATGATGAGGAATTTATTTATATTTGATGAGATTATGTCAGAAACTATAACAAAACTTGTATAGTTGTTCTTTGGTTGGAATTAATGTTTCTACAAAGGAAATATGGATGCACTACTTCATTAATTGTGTTACAAAGGAAATATGGATAAACTACATAAACTGTGCAGTTTTTGTCTTTTCATGAAAGAGTGCATAAGATGACAAAACTACATGATAACATAAAAATATTGTGTAATTTATTTAAATGTCACAATATTTTTCACTTCTAAACATGATTTGCACATTTAATATGGTTTTAATTTTTGTTTTGATTCTTGGGCTACAACTTCCTTTGATGAAGTTTATAGAGCAGAAATGAAGGATTTTGATGTTGATTTTATGATGAATATTTAAGAGATTGATGGTCAATATATGCTGCTTATGATTAATAGAAAGTCAATACCGCTGTTCGTAAACTTTACATCTTTGAGAATATCATGCATTAAGTTGCAGGTATTTTGACAAACATTTGAATTAATTTAGAACTCTTTGATTTCGTAGTTCGTCTCTGACTGTTTCAGATATTAAATCTAATTTAATTTGGTACATGTTAATCAAGACAACAAACCCATTTTCTTTCTTATTTTAATCAACCAATTATAATATGTTATTTGTATGTAATAAATGCATCTGCTTTTTTAAAAATTATTAATAAATCATTTCATCTTCAGATTTTGTTATTAAAAGCAATATATTTTTGTCGAAATATTACCACAGTATGCATCAGTTATCCCAAGCATTATAATAAAGGAGTCACCAACATGACTAATGTGACAGCTGTCATGATACTTGTAAGTAGAGTCACATAGTGCCCAAAATTGGTTAATTAAAAATTTTATTGGCCACTGTTACAAATATATGTGAAAGAAGGAGTCTGTAAAAAACAACTATCAATAGATCAATTATCGAATATTCAATTGACAATTGATTATGAACAATTGCCTAATTGTAAGGTCAACGAAAACGTATATGTTATGCACTTAAGTGTTCGTTGCATAGCCTGTAACAATAAATTACTTAGAAAATACCCTTCCTTGGAGTACTAGTAACCATTACAAATGGCATGTAGAGGGAACATGTGTAACCTATTTTGAAAACAATTCTCTAAATTAATATACTTTTCAAATATCTTATTTTCAGAATTAGTCCTTGCGATATATATTTTTGTTTTTCATAAATAAATATTATGTGTTTTATTACTATATCCAATATCAAACTGTTCATACATGCATACACATAATGAAATGTAACTACATGTACCTGTTACTCTCGAGCTGTTATCTTATTGATAATTGCAAATAAAACAATTCGCTTTTATTATTCTAGGCCAAGCACACTTATTGTTTGTTATGAATTTTTCTATAGTGATTAACACCTATAAAAGCATATATTAATGTCAATGTAAAATGTCCCCAGAAACAATACGACTACATTTCTATCAATTATTCACTATTTGTCTAGTTCATTTTGTTTATTGAAAATTGAACTGAGCTAAAATATTAATATTTTATTTTATTTTTTTTTAGAGATATCGGAGTACAAGTATAGATATATCTAACATGCTCTTTATTCTGTCGATTTTTCTGTATTTACTTTTCTGTTGCATGAAAATAAACTAAAACAATATATTGTGACAAATAATGTTGTTGTCGTTGGTTCATGTTGGGGCCGTTTGCATATTGCTAACTATACGGTAAGGGTTTTTCTGATTGTTGTAGCCCATACGGTTTCCTATATAAGCTTTCATTCACTTCATTTGAACTCAGGAGGATAGTTGTCTCAATCCACATCTTCATTTTTTTTATAGAGTTTATGTCTCAACTGCAACAAAAATCGCTAAATGCGGAATATAGGGATTACTATCCAGCGGCAGCGGCGCAAACTATTTGTATTAAGCTTTATAATTCAGAGGCTTGTAGACCTGGAGGCTTCATATGTAGTACACATGTTTTATGTAATGACGTTTCAATCTGTAATGTGTCCGTTGTCCTTGACCTCGTTTTTCTAGTTCAGCTTCTGTTTGAAGAAAAGTTCAGTTTTTTATGCCACCGCCGTAGGCAATGGGGGCATTAAGTGTTACCATTGACCGTCCTTCCTTCCGTTCGTCCCACCTTCCGTACGTCAGTCCTTCCGTCTTTCCGTCTGTCCCAATTTTCATTTCCGCACCCTAACTAAAGTTTTACTCATTAAAATTTTACGAAACTCATACACTCTGCTATGAATCAAAACTCACATGCATAGTACGAATTAGGATAGTAGGTAGCTTACAGTTCTAGAGTTATGCTCCTTTATAACTTTTTGATTTTTTTTGCGTATCCGCACTCTTACTTTAATTTCTTTATCCAAATTTTATAATATTCAAACACAATGCTAAGAATCACAACACGCAGACAGAGTTTAAATTATGACAATATTTCATTAACTGTTCTAGAGTTATACCCCCTTATAACTTGGAAAATTGCAAAGCTTCAGCGGAGACATTCGTGTCCTCAGACACATTCTTTTTTTGTTATCATATGATTTGTTCACTTATAAGGAGTACTTAGTTTTTGTTTTACACTTATGCATATGAACTATTTTGTTTTATATATATATATATTACTTTCCAGTATGTTCTTTTTTAAACGGGCCCGATTAGTTGGTGTTACATCTTACAAAGTCTTATCCAAATTTATTTTTGCAAAGAATTCCGCTCAAGCTGGTGCTAGGGGCCGTCTTAAACTTGCAGTGAGGTCAGAGGTTTTGTTTTTCTCCGTGTTTAATGCCTCACTGTGACTTTTAGATGAAGAACAGCAAAAAAAGCGTTGTTCCTTTGCTTATTTTGTGTGTTTAATTTGCTGTTCATATACTTATTGTGTGTCATGGATGGATACCCCATACCTTTTGTTTTTCTATAATATGACAATTCTATAAGGTATATAAATTCCTTGCAAAGTTTAAATGTCCGTCAGACAGTATTCACCTGACCTCGACGTATTTTCTTCGATCAGGTCCATTTCTCAGATACTGTTAATTAGCAGAAGGTCAACTATATTTGGTGTACGGAATGATTGTAAGGTAAACATGCCAGTCTGGCAGGTTTTATCTGACCTTAATTAATAATTGTAAGGTGCATATGGCTATTTGGTACGATTCACCTGACTTTGGTCTCATTTCATTGGTAAATATTTAGTTTTCCTGGTTAAGTCTGTTTTAAAGACACTTTAAGCAATAAAGTCAGCTACTTTGATGTATGGAATGTTTGAAAGGTGAATATGTCACACAAAAAAAGAACTGTAAAACATGCAGTCTTGTGTACATAACGTGAATAATTAAATTATCGATTCAATTGTTATGTTATTTCAGTGGAAATGTTTTAACAAAAAGGTTGTAGAACTCAATTCCTGTTTTCAAAAATTATAACAACACATAATTCCAAGGTAAATTCAAAATGAGGAAGTCAATAAAAACTGACAAAATCAAACGTTATCAACCCACGGAACGAGTGAAAAACACCTGTAAACTTTAAACATTTAATTCATTTCAACGATGGAGTTAGCAGTCATTTTTCTTGCGGGATATTTTTCTCCATGCTTAGGTAGGTCTTTTAAAAAAAATTTTTTTTTAACTCAGTACAATTAAGTAACATACGAATCATTTAGAAAAAACAATCGATAAGTATAAATGACGAAGAATAAAAAAAAATGCAATTTTAAGCAAATTAATGTGTCGAAATGAACAGACAGTGTCATTTTCAATTAAAAACTAAGTAAGACAAACATCTTTCAAATACATTACAAATGAATTCAAAGATTGAGAAATTAGAAGCCATGAACGCATTATCTCTAGAGTAAGGCATTTCTGCTTAAATATTTTCGCTGTAATTAAAATCCGATGAAAATTAGTAGTCGGTAAAAAGACCCTAAAGTGTGCTGTAAATTAAGTCGCTACAAATACACCTATATCAACATTAACAAAGAAACAGGGGTCTTCTTGTAGGATTTAAAAAAAAGTTAATATAGAACGTTTGTTTTTTCTTTAAATTAATACTTGACGAAAATATTGTCGCAGATGTGTTTCAATTGTCATAGCTTACAACATTAAAAAGTGAAGAAATGTAGTTTATTTATAATTTTGACATACATAGTTAACACAAAAAGTAATCGCCCGTTTATTTTCAAGTGCACCTTAAATATGAACGAGTGAAATTTGAAGTTAATGCCGATTAACTACAGACTAGACGGACACAAAATAAACGCGTGTTAACTCGGGTAGACAGTAGATATTTCCATTTGGACCGAGTTAAACTTATTATAGTAAATTCGCTATTACTAGTAAGCGCTACAATTGAAGTAAACAATTGAAATATGTACACGAAGTGCTAAGGATGTTCGCGACTCTTGTTTTTACGTTTTGGCAGATATTTGGAATTCTTTAGTTTTATCCTGTGTAGTGGCAATTAATACACATTTTGCTCGCTTACCCCTACTTTTCATTTCATAATTTTAGTGAATATAGTTTAAAAAGACATTTTTGAAAATCTTATACAATCCATGTTAATATTTCATATTTTTGAAAGGAAAAAGATGTCAATGTAAATTTTATGAAAAATCTAGAGTGAAATATTTCCCGCAAAATTTTGAATTGACTTTATATCAAAAACAAGGACACGGACCTATCTTTTTTTTTACTTTTTAAGTTCCCTTATTTATATTCTATACATTTATAGCAGTCTTTAACAACGCTTGTTATTTTGAAACATAGGAGCGAATGTCCTCAACATGTTCGGTTTGTTTTTGTAATGCTTGGTCTATACACAACTGTATTTGCATCTGATCGTATCAATTATCATTAGAGGACAAATGTATTTAATTTCAACATGCACTCTATTCTATCGATTTTATTCTTTTTTTTAAGTATGAAGTGCATGAATTTGATTTTGAATAATATATTGCGACAAGTACAGTTTGTGTCAACAATATGATAATTGATTCAAGTTTGGAATTGCTTTTAAAAAAACCTTTCAAACAAAAAGGTTGTTGCAATACCTTTATTTGGAAACTTAAAGCAGTTATATGAGTTTAGCAATGCGGTTTACAGTCATTTTCCTTTTTGGATGTTTTTCGATATGCTTAGGTAGGTTTTTATTTTTTAGAATTTCGATACAAATATATGTAGTAATATGTGACTCATTTTGATAAACGGACTCAAAAAGTAAAAATTCTGAGAAAAAAAAAACGAAATTAGTAAATTAATAAATAGATAGAAAAAAAATATAGACAATATCAGTGTCAATGGAAACGTTAATAAGCCGAACATCATTCCAAAACACTGAACATCAATTCAAAGGTTGCGCAATGAGAATCCAAGAATACATGTTCTGAATAGTAAAGCATTTCTGCTTCAAACGTGACTCGCGTCGTGTAGCTATTATTAAAAACTGCTGATAAGTAATGATTGGTCAAAAGTATTTATGCTAAAGTTAATTGTAAACTCAGTCACCAAATATTTCATCTACATACTTAAATTAATTTAAGAAGTGATAACTGTCGCGTATTAATCATTACAACAGAACCATTTGAGCTTCTTCAATCTTCTTTCTACAAGCTTCTTAGTCCTAGAAACAATTGGTTACCATTATTGATATGGGTGACACATACATATAATGGATAACAGGAATGAAAAAGGTCT